ATTACCAGTGGTCCTATTCCTTTTGAGCCGAGTTTATGGGAAAAGGACCAGGCGCAGGCACTCTTGGATCGTGTGTCTGCCGAGGGGCATATTGTGCAACCATCCACATCGCGCAGTGTGCCCGTCTCTCAAAGGCCTTCCCATATTGTTCAAGCTTCTACCTCGACCCCGAAATCGGGATTACCCTTCTCCCTTATTAAAGATGTCAAGCCGGGCAAATTTGCTCAACTACTTGGTCAAGCTGTAAAGCTGGACACGTATGACAGCGAGAAATGCCTGATGCTCATGACTGATTACACCGAGAATCCACAACTTGAGGACTACAAGAAGCCTGGGGAAGAAGAAGACGAGTCAGGCCCCGAAGGCGATCAATTCAACTACTTGGCACGGAGGAGAAAGGACTGGCCCGGTCCCTGGGGTCAATTAACGATCCAAGTGACTTTGTGGGAACCCCATGCCACCTATGCTCGAGAACATATCAAGCCAGGTGATCTTGTTCTCTTGACCTATGTACGGATCAAGGAAGGCCGCGGCTTGGAGGCTGCTGTTCACGAAGACAGGAAATACCCAGAAAAGCTTCATATCAAGGCACTGAAGGGTGGCCATGACGAACGCGCACAGGCGTTGATGAAACGTCGGGCAGAGTACTGGAAGATCCATGGTGAACCCAAGGCCGATACCAAGAATGCCAAAAAGCGGAATAAGAAGGCCCAAGAGCAGAAAAAGGAGGCGAAAAAAGAAGCAGGGCAGCTCATTTTGCCAGCAGCCACGCGAACCAAGCTAAATCCACACAGTGAGTCTACTTTATGCGAGAGAATTACACTAGCTAATAAATGTATTATAGTCAAACCAAACGCCTACCTAGCCACTGTTTCTCCTCTTGAAAAGATTTTGCGAGCAGAATCTCACATCAATCATGCTCCAGGAGGCATTGTCTACCAACTACCATTTCAAAATGTCAACTATATCTCCGAACTCCGTGTGGTCGATTTCTTTCCTCCAGATTTAGAAGATTTCGCCGTGCAGACTACACAAGCCGCCTTGTCAGAAGACACAGAGACATACTCTGGCTGGGAATGGCGGTTCTGCCTTCTTGTGGAAGGAGTGGAGCCACAGCCTTCTAAGCAGCAACCCCGGGCACGAATGAAGCTTTTCGTGTCTTGTCACGACGGTGATTGTCTCCTGGATATGGAAGCAATAGAGTAAGATATCCATCCTTTTGCCATACCACTTGCGGAATCCATATTGACCCCTCCACAGCCTTCGCAAAAGACCTCGAAAACTGGATCTTATGAAAGAGAAGCTCTTCTATCTCTGGGGCAATCTCGAAGAGCGAAAGAAAGCCATAGCTTCTGGCAACCAAAACCCGGAACCACTCAGCTCGCTGCCATTCAAATGCTGCATCAAGGAATACGGAGTGAAGTGTACCCATAGCAAAGACCCCAATGCAATGGATGTCGATGACGAGGACTGCAGCCAGCCCGATTGCTTTGGATGGGAGAGACGCTTCGGCATATTTGGCACAACTATCCACTCATGAAGTTTACGATCTACTTGTATTATTATCAACACAGATACCCTCAGAAAATTCCGTTGTTATGATCCCTAGTAATACAATTTAAGTGAGATAATAAGTGTTGGGGACCTCCCAATCATCTTTATTACCCGTATGAAAAAAAGATGATGTTGAATTCTCCATGAAACAAGCCTGTCCCCATGCACCGTCCACAACTCCTGTTAATGGGTGCTTCCGATGAACCTTTCCCCCATTAAACCCAAACCCGGTCGCGCCGAAGTCAGTAGAAAATATTCAAGGGACTTTTCGAGTGCATAAGATCCAATTCACCCTAGATGGGCGAACCAGCTTAGATCTTAGTCACTTTCACAATGTTTGTGTCGATGCCGTGCGCCACAGGTTCGAAACGGCAAGTCTCGCCGCGGAAGCAAGTCTTTTTACCTGGCTCGCTCTGAGGACAACGGTGGCCATAGATACACTCGACATCATCACAATCCAGCCCGAATCGACATGGGGTCATGCGGGCAATGGCTGACAGGATGTGCAGTTCTTGGCGGCTCAATTTGCGATCATGGTCGTGATAGCAGTTCTCTTCATTAGGACATTCCCCGAGCAAAAAGTGATAGTTGCACAATTTGAGCTTCTTCAGGCGGTTAAGATCATCCCGGGGGATGCTCTTGAAATCAAGTCGATCGACACGCTGGCCGTACTTATTTCGTTCCACGGCCTTGGGAGAGGTTGAGCTAGGTACTTTCGGTCGAACAACTTGGAAGTCAGGAGTCTCGGAGGGCGAGAGCTTATTTGCCACAGCAGTAGACAATGGAACGCCTAGACCCGACATACTGGTGCTCGTGGATGTTCTTGACAGAGGAGCAGGAGTCTGGAATTGTTGGGTTGGCGACGGCGTGAGCAACCCCCTCGAAGGAAGCGAATTCTTCCAGGGGGCTGTCCAGGTAGGTGCAATCTTAGAAGAGCGGAAGACATCTGGGAACTTCGTGGTTCGATATGTGCTTTTCAGGGTATCAAACTCCTTGTCGAAAGGAAGGCCTTCAAGTAGCGAAACCCGGCCAGTGAAATCTCCATCGACTAACACATCTTCCAGGAACCGAGCATATTCTTCAGTGGAGGCGCAACCTAGGAAGAGTTGGTGACAATGGCAGTTGTATAAGTAGAGCTTGAATGCCTCTGAGAGACAAGAGCGAATTAGCACTTTGTTCCACCGTCACAGGCTGTACCACATACCTTTGATCTTATCGTGTGCTTTGTTCTTGCCTGTTCCAACATCGACGATCTCAAAGAACGAAGTGCTTTCATTGAATCCCCGAATAAATTCCCCGATTGCAGACGCCTCTAGGGTGATCCCACCCCGACTACAAGCCTCGGTGAATCCCTTCACATCAAGGTAGATCTTGGTCATTATCTTCGGCTCGGTAATCGTTGAGAGGTTCGCCGTCACATATCCCTGGAGAGAGGTCCAGAGCTGCTTGGCCGCATTTCGTCCACCTTGTTCTCCCAGCTGCAGAAATTCGTCCTTGAATATTATGCCTTCGCCATCTAAGAGCAAAACGACAAATGGTTCCCGATCCTAAGGAAGGAATGTGTCAGCGCACGTTCAAATGCCATTCCACCGCTGCGCTCACCATAATAGTCTTGATTCGCGATATTTGGTCCATCAACTCCATCTCATGCAACTGAATATCGCGATTGAATCGGGTCTCGCGTTCGTGATCAAGCTTCTCCTGCTGGAAGGAGTTTTCTAAGGTAGTCACTCGTTGGAGAAGTTCCTGGGAGCAAGACATGTTAGCAGTGTCCGGAACATGACCAAGGGAGAGGTCGTCGCTACCTCGATGAAATCATTCTTCTGCTGGTCCAGAGCGCTAATCTGGCGATAGCGCTCTAAATAAGCCTGGGCTGCCATTTCGCAAGTGATAAAAGTGCGAAAGATTTGAGGTGAAAGCAGAGAATGCGACAAACTTGGAAGATAAGAGACAGAAGGTAAGGAGAGAAGCCGGTTTCAAGGCTGAAAGCGAAGTCCGGTTAGGCGCTTTGAAGGGCGATCTACACAGCGCGTAGATGAAGAATCACTGACCCCAGTGCGCCTTTATTAATATATGAAAATTATAGCACGCGTTTTCTTTTACTTCAAAAAAAATCGATCTAAAGAAACGCGGATGCTATCTTGCTGAGTCAGCCCCCGGTTTTGCCATACGTGGAGCCAACTCTCCTTCTCCTCTTCCTCTACCTCCCTCGTTTCGCTTTTGGTTCTCTGCACAATGACTCGCTTCGGTTTTCTCTCGCTGGCTCTCTTCTCGCTCCAGGCCTTCGTCGGCACCGGCTTTGCTGCTGTATGTTTGTCATCTCCTTCACGTCTTTCGCGTCCTTCGCGTCCACGTCCACTGTCGCAGACTCAATTGACTGACTCATTCTTGATTTGATGTTATAGGATGCCGAGAAGGCTGCGGAACCAGAGGCTATCAGCCTGGCTGTCACTGCCCAGGCTTCCTTCCCTGCTTCCGAGATCTTCGGCATCAAGCTTGTCAACGGTCACCCGACCCAGGCGCTGATCGCCATCGCCAACGATGAGCCGAACCCAATCACTGTGAACTTCATCGGTGGAAGCCTGCGGAACCCTGATGATCAGACCCAGGTCGTCCGCAACTTGACCGCCGTTCGCTACGGTGTTGAGATCCCGGCCGGTCAGAAGGAGACCATCAGCTACAGCTTTGCCACCGAGATGCACCCCCAGGATCTCCTGATGACTCTCTCTGCCATCGTCTCTGACAGCGAGGGCAACTTCCTTCCTATCACTGCCCACAATGGCACAGTCAGCGTTGTTGAGGCCGACACCAGCATTTTCGACCCTCAGATGTAATACCCCTCCTTGGACTCTGGTCGCGTGAGGTCAATTGGGCTAACAATTACTTCCAGTCTCTTCCTCTACTTCTTCCTCTTGGCCTGTGTCTCTGGAACCGGCTACTTCTTCTACTCCGTCTGGATCGCCCCTTACTTCCCCCAGAAGCGCAAGGCTGGAAAGCCCACCGAGAAGCGCCCCCAGGGCGCCAAGCGCAGTGAGGTCCAGGCTACTGAGGAGACCTCCAGCGGCGCTGCCGTTTCCTCCGCCACCACCTACAACGCCGACTGGATTCCCTCCCACCACATCACCCGCCCCGAGGCCCGCAAGTCGAAGGGCCGCTCCAAGGCCCGTGCGTAAATGCACTGAAGTGTGGGAGATTGGCATCAAATGCACACATCGACCCCAAGTTCTTGTCCAGTGAAGGCTGTATCTGACGTGCTGGAAATGCATTGTTCCTTACTGGCCGAATTGTCACTGTAGGCATGTATATTTACCAGATAGAAGATTTTGGCGCAGTCTAGCTTCTTCGGAACGCAGACTGGAAGGCCTGTAGAAGTCGAATCCATTATCATACCACGCTGTGCCTTATGTGGCAGTGCTGGTCTATCTTCGCATTCATTCATTGCTATCTCATAACTTCTTCCATTCGGTAAACTCCTGTTCCAGATGTTGCTTCAATTCCACAAAGCGGTTCCCGAACCCCCTTCCACAACGCCAGCAAGTGAAGTCTCGCTTGAGATATCCCTCCTTGGTGGGATCCCTCCGTACATCATCCTCCGCCAAGGGAAAGTCATCAATCGGAACGAAGAACGGCGTCGAGAAACTATTGTAGTGCTTCCGGTGCTTCAGACGATCACTATACCGATCAACAGATATCACATGAATATGCAAGTGATTCATCGACGGCACAGCATGTACCCCGACTACAACCTCCTGTTCCCAATCTCGACCCTGCGGTAGCTCATCCGGCGGCGGATTAGTACTCAACGCCGTTTGTCTTGCCTGCTCCTGCGCGGAACCCTTCCCATATTTGCGTCGTAGCTCCCCCGCTGCTAGTTTGCGAAGCTTGCGTGCTTCTGCCTTTACTTTTTCTAAGAATTCGGCATCCTCGAAAGCGTCAAACGGGTGAAGATACGTCTTGGTCTGCTCACGCGGGAGAAGGAGTAGGTGCAGTGAAGACTTTGGGAACATGTCGTGGATCGCTACAAAGTCTGCATTGTGGTATACTACCACATTGGGAGGGTATGTTTCTGGCTTTGCGATGTAGGCGCCTAGTCCGTCGCGAGCACTGAAGGTAGCTTGCCCTCTGGAAGCGTTGCGATCAGATGGGGCTCTGGGCGCATGCTTGGGCTGTTTGCTCTTGGGGGCGAGGAGTTCGGTGACTATTGGATCAACATACAAGTCAGCTTAGCTTCAGCAATAAAAATGAGTGCCGCATTACAAGCATTTCTCTTCGACGTGCCAGGTTGGTTCGGGTCATCCTTGCTGGGGCTTGGGCGTTTGTCCATGGACATGATGGCTTGAGACACAGAGTCACGTATACATCGGCAGCATTGCCGGCAAAGCCGTGAATCACATTCGCAACTCCGACGGAGGTTGAAGAGTCTCATGAATCGGCGTCCCAAAGTGCTCCCCGCAAATCCCAAAGCGGTTTAGTGCGGCACATGTGCCCGGGCTTAAGAAAGTTGATCTCCAATTTTTGCGAACACTCACGGACCTACACAGATGGCCCCCAAGAAGAAAGGCGACGGCCATGGAGGCCCAAAGCCTGGCACGAAACAGGCTAAAGCCGCCGCTGAGAAAGCAGGCGACGCAAAGAAGCCAGCGCCGCCAGAGGAGCCCAAGAAACCTTCTGTGAAGGAGGTTATCGGCGGCGCATCCTGGACGGGCAAGCTACCAGTCAATATGCTGGCGGAGCATTGTCAGAAACAAAAATGGGAGAAACCCGAGTACAGCATGGTATCTATACCTCCGGGGTGTGTCCGCAAACACGTGTACTCAGTCAGATGCTGATGAATTGCGACAATTGCAGATTAAAACATCGGACGGCTTTGTTTCCGCCGTTACTATGAAGAAGACAGATCCTAAGACTAAGGAATTGATCGTTATTCCGCCGATGAAGCTCCCTCCCTCCCATAAGCATCTCGCCGGACAACCTACTGCCCTTGAGGCGCGCCATTTCGCTGCAGCATTTGCTCTGTTCAGAGTATGTAATATGCGCAATATTCATATGATGATGCCCCCGACATACAAGAAACTTTGGAAGGAAGACTTTGGTGCCATCAAAGCGGCAGATACTCGAGAAGGCAAGGGCTGGATGTACGAGGCAGATCCGTTCCTGGCCAAACAAGAGCGCGAAAGTGCTGCTGCCGATTTGGCGAAGAAGAGAGCAGATCGCGAGAAGGCGCAGGCAAAGGAGAAATCCTCTGGCGTGGAATTAGGGCTCGGGAATGGTGATGCCAAGGGACGACGCATCTGGTCCCAGGCGCCTAAGGTTGACATGGGAACACGGATTCGACGAGATATTGAAGGGCTTTTGCGACAACATACAATCTGGAATCCTTATGGAGTGGAGATTCCGGCGAACCAAAAGAAGACCATTGTTGAAGAGTTCTCTGGGTTAGGGTTCCGGCGCAGCCACGTTGAAGAAGCTACTGCGGAATGCAAAGACCGCGAAGAGGTTCTGGAGTGGCTTTTGATCTATGTTCCTGATGACGATCTCCCACGGTGGAGTTTGCCAGAAGGATATTCAGCTGGAGTTAGCATTGGTTCGGCCGATCTTGCTCGTGAAGGCAAGATCAAGCGGTTGGCTTCAGTGGGTTATCCAGCTGATATGTGCTCTCAAGTTTTGGATAGCAAAAAAGGTGATGAGTTGGCGGCTGCCGAGTATTTACAAGGTACTCTGGTTCATGGATCACATTTCATATCTCCGCCTGTGGTCGACGAGGAGGATGAAGTTTGGACAGAAGAGCAATCTACCCTAGAGGCCATTTTTGGTGAACGATACCATCGCATTTCTGCAAAGGTTTGCGAGATCAATAGCGAGGCCTCTGAGGTTCCAGAGAATACAACCTTCCGCTTCCAAAAGCCCTCCGCTCATTACCCAACAACAGCTCCTATTATTTCAATATACTCCAAGGGTGTCCCGGCTTATATACGCCTGAGTGCTATCCGTCGTGCAGTACAATATGCCGAGGAGAACTTCTCAGGTGAATCTATGATATTCAACATCCTGGATTGGCTAGAACTCAATCTACCGGATATCATGGAGAACCCAGGCAAATTGCGCGAGATCTCCGCTGTGACAGCCTCGTCAACTGCTGAAACCACCGAGATTCCCGCGCGCTCTTCGCGCAAACAGAAGAGGGGCATCGATTGGAAGGTCGACTCACCACGGAGTTTGGCGATCAGAGACGCCTGGGAAACCAAACAGACGACTGCTCCGCAGATGGACATGTGTCGGAAACGACAAGCACTCCCTGCATGGAACACTCAAGAAGCTATCATTCAAACTGTCAACTCACACCAGGTTACTATCATCTCCGGTGAAACTGGTAGTGGTAAGAGTACACAATCCGTACAGTTCGTTCTGGACGACATGATCAAGCGAGGACTTGGAGGCGCTGCCAACATCATCTGTACGCAACCACGTCGAATTTCAGCCCTCGGTCTTGCCGACAGGGTCAGCGATGAGCGATGCGCGACAGTTGGTGACGAAGTGGGATATGTGATTCGAGGCGAGTCAAAGGCTAAGCCAGGCTTAACAAAGATCACATTTGTGACAACCGGTGTTTTGCTGCGTCGGATTCAATCAGGCGGTGATGCGGATGGCAATGTCTCGAGCTCCCTCGCGGACGTATCGCATGTGGTCGTTGACGAAGTTCACGAGCGCAGTCTGGATACTGACTTCCTCCTGGCGCTGCTGAGAGATGTTCTGCGTTATCGCAAAGACTTGAAGGTTATTCTCATGAGTGCCACTCTTGATGCTAGCATCTTCATGAATTACTTTGGCAGTCAGAGGTCTGTTGGCTTGGTCAACATCCCTGGTCGAACATTCCCTGTTGAAGATTACTACTTGGACGATGTCATCAGGGACACAGGCTTTGCGCCAGAACTTACCGACGAGTGGGACGATGAAGAGACCCCTCGAGGCGAGGAGACCCTCGGCAAAGCTCTACGGAGTGTGGGCATGGGAATCAACTATGACCTGATCGCATCGACAGTCCAATACATCGATGCCCAGCTAGGAGACCAACCAGGCGGCATCTTGATCTTCCTTCCTGGTACACTCGAAATCGACAGGTGTCTCACGGCAGTCAAGAGAATCCCCAACACACACCCTCTACCATTACATGCATCCCTACTCCCAGCGGAGCAGCGTCGAGTCTTCCAAAGCCCACCAAAGGGCAAGCGAAAGATCATCGCAGCCACAAATGTCGCCGAAACTTCCATCACAATCGAGGACGTAGTCGCCGTCATTGACACAGGCCGAGTCAAAGAAACAAGTTACGACCCGAAAGACAACATGGTCCGCCTCCAAGAAGTATGGGCCTCCCAAGCGGCCTGCAAACAGCGCCGCGGTCGAGCAGGCCGTGTCCGCGCCGGCACATGCTACAAGCTCTACACCCGCAAAGCAGAATCAAACATGGCGCAACGCCCAGACCCAGAAATCCGCCGCGTGCCTCTAGAACAACTTTGCCTCTCCGTCAAATCAATGAAAGGAATCGAAGATGTCGCAACCTTCCTAGCAAACACAATCACCCCACCAGAAAGCATAGCCGTCGAAGGCGCCCTAAACTTCCTCCACCGCGTGGGAGCCCTAGACCACGACAGACTCACAGCCCTAGGCCGCTACCTCTCCATGATCCCAGCCGACCTCCGCTGCGCAAAACTCATGATCTACGGCTCCATCTTCGGCTGCATGGAACCATGTCTCACAATCGCCGCCATGCTAACAGTCAAAAGCCCCTTCGTCTCACCCCGCGAGAAACGAGACGAAGCAGACGCCGCCAAGGCCTCCTTCTCCCGTCTCGGCGACGGCGACCTCCTCACCGACCTCTCAGCCTACCAGGCCTGGTCAGAGCGGACCCGGGCGCAAGGCGGTTACTGGGGAACGCAGTCATGGTGTGCGGCAAATTTCCTCTCTCACCAGACACTTCGTGATATCTCCTCCAACCGCGCGCAGTTCGTCTCATCGCTCAAAGACGCGGGGATCCTGCCCGTCAACTATTCCGATGCATCGACAGCGTGGAACCGCAACGCCGCGAACCGGAACTTGATCCGCGCCCTCATCGCTGGCGCGTTCCAGCCACAGGTTGCGCAGATCTCGTTCCCGGATAAGAAGTTCGCTAGTTCGGTCACTGGTACTGTTGAAGTTGACCCCGATGCGCGTACTATCAAGTACTTCAACCAGGAGAATGGGCGCGTCTTCATCCATCCTAGTTCTATTCTCTTCTCTGCGCAGGGATATCCCAATGCGGCGGCTTATCTTAGTTACTTCACTAAGATGGCTACTAGCAAGGTGTTTATCCGGGATCTTACCCGTAAGTCAAGAATCTCCTTTCTCTCTTTCCTCTCCTCGAGACTCGGAGCCCGAGACCCTTGTCTGAAAATTCATTTCTAACATTACTTTTTGTCGCAGCCTTCAACGCGTATTCCCTCCTCCTCTTCTGCGGCTCCATCGAACTAGACACCGTAGGCCGCGGTCTAGTGGTAGACGGCTGGCTCCGTCTCCGCGGGTGGGCACGTATTGGCGTGCTCGTTTCGCGGCTTCGCACTATGTTAGATGAGGCTCTTGCGGAGCGGTTTGATAGTCCTTCCTTGGGGATTGATGGGAGCAACAGTATTGGCGACAGGGTGATTGAAGCTGTGAAGAAGTTGATTGAGTTTAATGGGCTTGATCAGTGATATGGATAGACGGAGGCCGAGTCCAAAGGTTGTGGGTTATAACGTTAGATGACGTACATACTAGAGTTAGATGAAGATTGGATGATTTATGATATACCAGGCTATACAGACCGGATCGGTTCAAAATGTTGTCTAGTAAAACACCGCGTACTGTAGGGGTTTTCAGAGAAGATTGTGTACGATTCATGAGGATTGAAATGCAATGTAATACGAATGGAAGGAGTGATTCGTTCAGAAGACCCAAGTAGACTAAGGAAAGCTCATAGCTGACAGTTGGCATTGCCAGGACTGGACATAAGTCAAAAAGACCAAAATACATCAAAACAGAGTCTAATCCAACTGACTCTCATCAATACTCCGGCCAAATGGCTACAAAAAAGGTCAAGGAAGAGCACCGAGGAACCAAAGACGCAAATTTGGATACATTTGCTATCTGGGAAAGACGAGTCATCCCTAAGGCTATCTCAATATGCAATAATCACGTAGTAATAGATGCATGAGAGACGCCACAAGGAAAACAGAATATGTAACGATCTTGAGGCAATTTGCAGCAGTGCGTGGGACAGGGAAAGATCATTAGGGCAAAGACAGTTCCATGGAAAAGGCA